ATCATATATCAAAATACCGGCGTCTTTCGAGAAAAATACAATAGAAAAAAACCGCTGTCTTTAGCATGTAAAATAAGAAAGTTATTCAAAATGTAAGTTGACAAAGTCAGTGTGAACCTAGTATACAAATATTGGCCTCACATGAACATGAGCCACACATGAACATTCACGTGCACTTCTGCTCATGTGTATAGTACTGACTAGTCTACATGAACATGTACATAAAAACTAGTGTTGTTTTAGTTAACTATAACTAAAACTAAAAGCACTTTTAGTTTGGTCTTTTGACTTTTAGTTAACTAACTATAACTAACTAAAATGAAAAAAGAATTTCCTAAAACTAACTGTAACTAACTAAAAATGAGGCTTTGCTTCCAAAAACTAAACTAACTATAAATAATTTGTAGAGTGAACTAACTAAAATAACTAAAATAACTAATAAAAACTAAAACTTAGACCCTATAACTATAACTAAATGTCTTCAAAAAGCCTTTTAGTTAACTAACTAAAACTAACTATATGAAAATGATTGCATCATGAAACTAATAAAAACTAATAAAATTTTCCACACGTTGCTTAAAACTAACTATAACTAATAAAATCTGTTTTTTGATAACTAAAACATCACTAATAAAAACATCATGTACATGTGTATGTACCGTATAGCAGGTTTTTTCGAGGATAATAAATTTCACGAATGACCCATATCTGGAAGTTTGCAGAATTAATTTTCGCAAATTCCCACTAATCTACCATCTTGTACCGTATTAAATTGATTTTCAAGGTATTTAAATTCGTGAATCATGAAAAAATCCGCAAAATTATTCATGAAATTAGTTATCCTCAAAAATTTCCCGCTATACAGTATTTTATAGTACTGCAATTACTCTAATGCGTGGGTGATCTGACACAAATTTGATCAAATTTTAATTTCGTGTGTTGCATTTTATATTTTATGTTTTTAGGAACAAGTTTGAGAAAGCAAAACTTGTGCAGCACAATACAATACACTGCTTTACATTTACAAGTACACATGTACATGTACATGTTGCTTTAAATCACATGCAATACTTTACATGTATGTACACTACATGTACATGCAACTGTGTAAATATTAAAATTTATATATACTTTCCACTGTTAAATTGTTGTTTGTATAATTGTAATAATAATGATAATAATTTAACATACAAATTAATCTTAATTATTATTAAATTAAAATCTACATTAAAAAAGATAATAATATTTTAATTTTAATTCTAAAAAAACAACCTAATAAACAACAAGTCGCTTGTTATTAAAATCACAAACGTACAAGGCCCCATCTTCATTGAATGCCAATCCATAAGGAGTATCAAACTGATTAACATTACGGCCCATGCTTCCAAATTTATTCACGAAATTACCATCACTAGTGAAGACTGAGATACGATGATTCCCCCATTCACTAACATACACTAGACCAGTAGCTGCAGTGTCTATTGTTATACCCATTGGACCATTAAGCTGTCCAGGGCCAAATCTTTTATTACCAAACTGACCCACAAACTTTCCGTCTGGAAAGAACTTCTGAATGCGATGATTACCATAGTCAGTCACATACACTATTCCTTGACTGTCAATGGCAATGTCGTATGGAGATTGAAACTGTCCATTAGCTGATCCTTTACTACCAAATGAATGAGAGAAGGTTAGATCAGGATTCAAGACTTGTATACGATGATTATTTACATCAGCAATATAAACCTGGCCTCCTTTAGGTGAAACGGCTATACCATAAGGGTCTTTAAATTGTAGTGGTCCACTGCCCCACTCCCCAACTGATTTTATAAGCTGTCCGTCCATGCTTATCTTCTGGATACTATTACTATCAGACACAAGAATGAATTTGTCTTGAGTAATCGCCAAACAATGAAGATAAGAAAACTTGACGTTACCTCTTCCTCCTTCCCCACCTAATGATTTCACTTTATTTCCCCCTTTATCGAGTATTGTTACACAGTGGCCATCACGCTCAGTTATTACGACATTACGATCATCATTTACAGCAACTCCCAAGGGGCCCTTCACATCATTTATAGTATGTACTGGAGAAATGTTATCAATGTAAGGACTGATACAGATAACTAGTGAGGTAGCTTTAAGCTTCACATCATCTACTTGAACTCTTAGTATATGAGTGCCACTGGTTGAAGGGTTACACTGTATCCTATACATTCCAGGATCAGTGCTGGTGGTAGTGACTGTAGCTGGAATGGGTTGATCACCTTTACCAACTGGTACTATACTACACCTCAGAGAAGAGAGGGGAACAGACAAAAGAGATGAATCTGGTGCCTCCATTGATAGTGAAAATGAAAGCGTTTTGTCGGTAGGAATGATACAATCAACCTTCTTCACTCTACACTGCTGTAGTGCAGTGGAAGAGTGGGTCAAAATATCTCCAATGTGATGCAGCGATTTGATATCTTTACTCAATTCAAAGTCGGCCTTTTCCTTTGGATATAAATCTTCCAAATTGATTGGTAAAGTGACATTACTCATACGCTCCATCATCTGCTTCTTAGACTTCAGGACTTGTTGAGGACTGCCTGTCTTCAGACTCTCTTCCACATAATTCGTAACATCCTCCACAAGGTTTAAACTCTTCTCTGCTGATTCCTTTTGCTCTGACAGCACCTTTAGTCTAGAATCTATGACCTTTCTTGCCTGCTCAGTCAGTTTCCTCTCTGACTGATGAAGAACATTCATCATTTCCTCTACCATTTCATGTATTTCTTTTAAGACTCCTTCTCCTCTCTCTCTGATCTCACCCTCTCTCTCTGCTAGAGCAGACAGGACCTTCTTGAGTGCTTCCTTCTTTCTCTCAACTGGTAATAGGCATTCTCTTAATTTTTGACAGTGTTGATCATACTTTTCAGTAATCAATTCATATTTATGACGTTTGTGATCACCGAATTGGCAGGTAACACAGATTGCTGTATCACATGTTTCACAGAATAGATCCAAAGGCTTACCATGATCATCACATGTGACCTCTGGAGGATTAAATGTAGGTGCTGTTGATGACCTGTTGTTCAGTAAACCTTGCATCTCTCTGAGATTGTTGAGGTGGAATGCTACAGGAAAGGCTCCTACTCCTTTTTCTGGTAACTCTGTATGTTGACGACAAGTAGGACAAGAGAGGTAATAGGTCTCATTCTTCTTCTCCAGAGGTAATCCTTCCAGACATTCCTGACAGAATGAGTGATGGCAGTGTAGGATCTTAGGGTTGGTATAGTCATCAAGACACACAGGACAGGTGAGGTGTTCCTCCATTTTGAGCCTGAGAACAGGAGAAGAAGAAGATGAAAATTTTTCGGTGGTCGCCATTTCACGGGGAGCAAGAAAGTGAGAAATACAGTAATGAAGATAAAACAAGATCAAATGAAGCAGCAGAAGGAGGCAAGGAGCAAACAAAGACAAAGACTGATGACAAAGACACTATTGTCCTTTAATCCTTTAAGGATATTCATAAGTTATGATAGTGTACAGTAACTACAGTACCTCTACAAGACTAAACTAATGCATAAATTGCGTGGGCGATCTGAAATAAATTTGATCAAATTTTAATTTTGCATTGCATTTCATGTTTATGTTCTTTTAGGAGCAAGTTTGAGCAAGCAAAACTTGTACAGCACAATACACTGCTTTACATTTCATGTACATGTGCATTGTACTGTACATGTACATGTACAAATGTACTGTACATGTACAAATGTAGTTTAATTGCCAATCACATGGTTACCTTGAGATGTTCAATAAAATGAACTGCTTTCTCCTTTATCAGTTTCAGTCGATCAATTAAAACTTTTTCTAGAATAAAATTAAAAATGGTGTGTTATACATGTACAAATGTGCATGTACAGTAGTAATTTCAATACTAAAACACTCATAATTTCATAATTCGATTCCCATACTCCGTACCTTCATGTTTCAATGCTGCAGTGTGCTCTCGTCTCATGTTCTCCATCTTCTGCTTCATTGCCAGTTGAGCCGGAGAAGGAGGAACATTCACTGGAAAAAAGAGAAGAGACAGAAACAAATTAAATATACTTGTACATGTACATGCATCCAAACTGTACATGTACATTGTACATCTATATTGTACATACATGTACATGTACATGTATGTTAGAAGGAAATTTTGCGTAAAATTTGTGAACTATATTGTACATGTACATGTACATGTAATTCATTAAATCAAAATTAATTAATTATCTATTAAAATTAAAATAAATTGAGAATCTTCATTGCCATTTGCCAAAATGTATTTTTTATGATTATACATATACATGTACATTGTATTTTTAAAAGCAAAAATTTGTAAAAAAATTAGCAATGCAAAAATTAATCAGCATGTACTGTGCATGTACTTATTACTACATATTTTTTGTGTTTTATCTGACATGTATTATGCTGTGTTAGTTTGTTGTGTTTTTTTGTATATTCTGTATTTTACACATGTACATGTACATGTACACTGTACCTGGTGCTGGAGTCTCGGCTTTTTCAGGCTCCAACTGAGCTCCTTTCCCTTTGGTCTTAGTGGGTGTGGTCTTACCTTTCTTACCACCAGCAGGACTCTGAATATAACCAATTAATAAATGACCACACCCATTTCCTGTCTCTTACCTTAGCTCCGCCTTTCTTTCCTTTTCCAGAGGCTTTCTCCTCTTGTTCGGTGGGTAGTGGGGTCGGGTTCTCGGGGGGTTTATTAGCTTCAGCCGTTGCTTCTTCAATCAGACGAATCTCCTTATTCAACTACATTTAATAAGAATGGAGAAAAGAGCATGATAATTAATAACGTGAATATACATGTACATGTACACACACATACAGTACAATAAATGCATACATGTACAGTAATTAACAAACAAAAACAACAGAACAAAATAATAACCAAATAATAAGAACAGAGAAAAGAGCATATACTGTACATGTACGATGTACATCTAAATAACTACATGTAAACATGCACACATACATGTACAATGTACATGTATATTATACTTATTTGTAATTAATAATAAGTACAAATCTACATGTACATGTACATGAATACAGTGAAACCTGTCCTAAAGGTCACCTGAATAATGAGGCCACCTCTCTATTACAGCCATAAGCCAAAATCCCATACTAAATGGCTGTATTACAGAGGCTGATCTGTAATGCAGCCACCTGCATAATCAGGCCATTTAAAACTGGCCCAAGGGTGACCGGATTAAGCAGGTTTCACTGTAGTATGTACATGTAATATTGGTCATACATGTATAATTATGTTTGATAACTTACTAGTTTAGATGCTAGGACTAATGCTGTGTTATAACTGTGCACTATCAGTTGTGTGTCTAGTGATAGTTCAGATATGTCCTCAGTCCCTGCTGGGGGAGGAGTCGGCTCACGCTCAACCTTCTTACGACCTTTCTCTTCAACAGGAGGAGCCTCCGGTACTGTGATTAACTGTCTTATTAATAGGGGGACACTAGGGAAGAGAGGAGAGAGGGTATCACATGTCATGTACATGTACACAAAATTAAATAAAAATTAAAAATATTTAAGGCACAAGCGTCAACGTACTGTACATATCACATACATGTGTACAAAATTATAATAAAAATAACAAAAACAATATTTAAGGCACAAATGTACATGTACCATTTATCTTCTTCCATTGGCTTAGGACTTTCTTTCTTATTTTCTTTATTTTTCTCAGCTACTCCTCCTCCATCAGTGGCAGTGGTTGACTGAGACTCTTCCTCTGGAACCGTCAGCTAAAACAATAAATCACACACATGTACATGTATATGTACATGTACATGTACATACATGTACATGTATGTACATGTACAGTGTATGTATCTCACTCTCTTACTTCAATTATAGGTATTCTTGAATTACAGTCAGGTAAAGGGCTTGGGACATCACCTAAAAGTTTAATGTCATTCATACATGTACATGTACATGTACATGTACATGTACATGTACAAATGTACATACATGTACATGTACATGTATGTAAAATACAATTATATTGCTCACTTGTCATTGATAGATAATAATCTTTTAGCAACAAAACTGCATCTTGAAACTTTGTCAGCTCAGCCTAAAAATTAATTTCCAAAAAAGTAATGTACATTTTACATGTACATGTATTTAGCATTAAATTTACATGTACATGTACATTACACTTAGTACCTACATTAGTGACATGTAATGGTTTACATAATTATCATAAACATCATTTACATGTACATGCAGTTCAGTACAATACATGCACTGTACTGTACATGTAGATGTGTATACCTGCATTAGTGATATGTAATGGTTTGATATGAGTCCCACATGATCCTGGAGCCAGTTATCATCAATGATGCTCTGTCTCTCTTTCTCCGAGTCCGTCTTACGGACGTCACAAATATCCCATAACTTCTCACACAGATCCTATTGGAAACGCATGGAAATGGTTAAACAATACATGTACATGTAAATACTGTACATGTACATGTACATATACAAATGTAAATACAAAATTAACATTAAAAGTAAAAACCTTATTTTTACATGCATAGAAAGAAAATACATGTACACATGCATGTACAATGTACATGTAACTACATGTATGTGCACATACAAAATTCAAACATTACTCAGAGTACATGTACATGTACATTTCTCTACTTCCCTCCCCTCTCTCTCTCTTACATCAACTCTGTGGTGCAGTTCAGATTTCATGAAGTCCTGCTGCCTCATATTCAGTGATAGTTCATTGTACTTCCGCTGCCATTGAGACACAAACTCCTGCTTACAGTCCGGCCTCTTCAAAAACTCTATCAATTCATTCCTAAAATGAACATCATTAATTGTACACTGATCTTTTAAAAACAGCTATTAGGTGAATAAGCAATGTTTTAAAAACAGTTAATATCTGTGTATATGTACATTTCAGCAAAAACCTAATATCAGAGTTACATGTAATTGGCTCAAACAAACTTTTTGTACTTCAAAAAGGCATGTACATGTATCTTATACACGTACATGTACATGTACCGTACATGAAATCAAATTGCTACAATTATACATGTACATGTACATGTCGTTACGTAAAATAGTAGTAATTAATACAGTGTATATACCTTTACTGTATATACTCTATAGTGTATATAGTGTTTATACTCTGTACCTTTTACTGAATATATAGTGACAGAGTGCATCTCTCTCTTGTCTCAGACACCTAAAAGCATCACGGAACGAAAGAGCATAAATCTTCTCAGCCTCGGGCCATCTCTCGGCCAGGCTAGAGACGAGACTAGAGTGCACTGGTAGCGAGCAATACTGCCAGCCCTCCTCTCCAGGCTCTGCTGTTATATCAAGCAATAAGAATAGCTCTGATTCAGCTGAAGGAATTGTCAGTGTTTGATCTGCAGCACTCTCTGGCCCTCTTTCATCTTCTCGCTCTTTGCCTCTCCCTCTCTTTCTAGTTCCTTTCTTTGTCATTGTAATATCGTCCGACCCCTAAAGATAAATGTACATGTGTAATAATGTACAAGAATTAGGAGAGATGAAAGAGAGAAAAAATTAAAGAGCAATAATGCAAATTTGCAAAAAAAAGAAAAAGACAGTAGATGAAAGAGCTACAGTAGTGCACAGAATTGAAAATGGAAAAGGAGAAAGCCTAATAATTTACTTAACCAAAAAAGAAGTTTTATTGAATCAAAAATGTACGGTGTACATGTACTAAAAATTGCAAATTTCTAAATTTAAACTGTACCTTCCTCGGTGAACACTGGCTCTTGGATCTAAACTTTTGCAGTGGACTGTTACCAGCTGAAGAGGGTCTCCTTCCACGAGTCTTTAAGTTAGGAGGAGGAACTGCAGGAAGGTCATCTTCTTGCACTGACGGGATCGGGTTGATGAGGGACATACGACTCATGCTCTTGCTAATCAATACCATCTTCTGCTGACTGAACGCTGCAAAGAAAGAAAGAAAGGTGAACGAGATTTGTATATACATATACATGTACATGTACACTCAATTTAAAATACTAAAATAAAATGCACAAGTACATGTACATGTACATTATACACATGCACACGTGTGGCTACATGTACATACAGTACATGTACATGTACTGTATGTCTTACTTCTTATTCCTAGTTTCTTCATTGCTTCATTCTGACGAGCCTAAAAATAAAAAAATTAAAAAAAATCCCACATGCAGTACAAAACATGAAAACCTACTCTGAGAAGTTTTTCGTCAATAAGTTCATACACATCCATGAGTACCTCAGCTAATGGAAGAATGGAAGGAATGGAAAAGAAAGAGATACAATCACATTACATAATGTTCACATGTTACATGCATGAAATACATGTGTACATGTATGTGTAAATTATATTCTATACATGTACATGTACATGTAGCTTACTGAAGCTCTTGTTGGAGTCAATGTTATGAATAGTCCTAAAGCGATTATACCATTTCTTTATCTGAGGCCAGTTTGAATCAAAGGAAAGCAAACTAAAGGAGAAAGAACATGAAAGAGAAATAAATCAAAAATGTTAGTACACGTTCCACATTTTTACATACCACTGTTGAATATCAGCTCTTGCAACATTATCTATAGAGAAAGAGAGAGAAAGTATTACATGTGTTATGTGTACATGTACATGCACATTTGAATTACCTGAACTAGGTTTGACGGATCTCTTGAATATATTATCAGACGATGCATTGAAGTGTACCACAATATCAAGACCACACACAGCATGTAGATTAAACAACTCCTAACAAAAAAATACATCAAATAAAATACATGTACATGTACAGCTACATGCATGTACACATGTACATTGTACATTTACATATATTTGGTGATCTTTTTATCACTTCAAAATTAATCCTTATTTCTCACAAATTCCCCCCCCCTCTCTCTCTCCCTCTCACCTCCTCCTCCACTTCTCTCTCAGGTATTAATATGAACTGGTGTGTCCTCAGTTCTGCTGTACTCGACTGCTCCTTTAGACTCATCAAGCCTTGACCAGTCAATCCTTTAGCCAACAACTACAAATACAATGACATGTACAGTACATGTACATGCATATATTATGTTGATCATACATGTAGTTATGGTTAGTTAACTCACTAGTGCTTGCTGGAGGGTAGTAGGGAAATTGTCTAATACCCAACTGCTCCCATCTTCAAGCTCCCTATGTAATAAAATAACTTTAAACACATGAACATGTAATTCATCTAAATTATACATGCATGTACATGTATGTATACATTATACATGTACAATGTACATGTATGTACATGCAGGTATAAATACTTCTATTGTATAAGTCTTACTTTAATTCATGTACAATGATATCAACAATAGTGGAATCATCAACTGGTTCGCCATTGGATACTGAGCTGTAAGCTTGTTCCCCTAACTGACCCAATGAAGATAACTATACAAGGAGAGAAATGAAGAAGACATTGTACAATAAGCACATTATTTAATGAAGAGTCCTCACAAAATAATACAGTTACAATGTCAATGCATGTTTTATGCAGTTACTCCTACAGTACTCCATCACATCTCTATACATGTATTTTTTACATTTGTTAACTGTGTACATACATGTACATGTATCACAGTTTTTGGCATACATGTACGTGTACAGTACAATTAAAGTCGTGTTGCATGTACATGTACAGCACTGGTCAGCAATAAGTTGACACATTTTGCGTTTAAGTTGCGTTTGAGTTTGCTATAGTTTATCGTTTTCATAGCAAACTAGTTATAAACTAACATTATCTATGCTCAAATGCTACCACAGTCTCTAGCAAATGTAACTTGTGTAAATTCAAACTTAATGTGGTTGCTTATCTGTGCATTATCACATTTTATTGCATTCACCAAACTAGTTTAGTATAGTTCAATGATCGTTTGTTTGTCAACTTATTGCTGACCAGTGCTGTACATTGTACATGTATAAAATAGATTTACTTCAAAAGGGCTTTGCTTCTTAGAGTCTTCAGCATCTTTTTCTTCATTTTCTTCAGCTCCTTCTTCTTCATCTTTGACACTAGCAGCCTTGACCCCTTCCCCCTCTCCTCCCTCCTCCTCCTCTTCCACTGATGAGAGTGAGGCTGGCCCACTGGTGTATCTCTCTGTCAGCTCTGACTTGTACACTTCAATAGCTTTCATCACCAAATCATTAGGACTCAGTATTAGGACACCAAGAGCTGTAAATTACACAATGTAATATAGGGACAAATAAAATTAATAAAAATATTAGATAGTACATTACATAGTTTTAGCATACACAAATGTACATGTACATGTCATTACTTTATTATCAATATAATGCAATGAAGTTCATACAGTATGTAAATGTACATGTACATTATATGTACAGTAGTTGTCCAATAGCAATGTACAATGTGTTTATACATGTACATGTACACATACATGCATGTACAGTATATGTACATGTACATGTACATGTATGTGTAGTCGTACTTTCATTGATGTATTTAAGTGATGAAGTTTTTCCAGTAAATGGAAGACCAACAAATGATCCTTTTAGATAAAACTTAGGCAATGAGGGTGGATTGGAAGGAGGCTAAAGAAAAAAACATGATAAAAACAATGTACAGTACATGTACAGTGTACATGTATATACATGTACATGTACATGTATGAAAGAGGATACCATTGTACATGTACATGTACTGCATGTATTTCCATCACTTACTTGAGGTGGTTTGACTAGTTCAATGAGTCGATACACAATATGAGACAATACCATGTTAGGAGGATGAGGACACTCAGTACTATCACTGGACCACTCGTTAGTTACTTGCTGTATAGAAAAGAATAATATAATTTTAATATTCAAAAGATGTACATGTGTAATTTCAGTCAATCAATTGTCAAGTTGCTCAAAATTTGGGTGATAGAACCTATACTGTGGCACGGGTACATGTACATTGAGAAAAATCACAAGGAGCAAATTTTTCATTTTAATAATTTTTTCTGATACATATACATGTTTTTATGTTGTGTAGAAAATTTGAGTTGATTCCCATAAAATTTGAATTTTTTATGAATTTTTAAAATTGCTCAAAAATCGGGCAAATGACCCAAGGCTATAGCCTTGGTGTCAGGTCAAATTTCATCAAAAATGGCTAGGAGAGAATTCTTCATTTTTATAATTTTTCCTGATACATATACATGCTCTTATACTGCGTAGAAAGTTTGAACTGATTCCAATGAAGTTTGGATTTTTTATGAATTTTTGAAGTTGCTCAAAAATCGGGCAAATGACCCAAGGCTATAGCCTTGGTGTCAAGCCAAATTTCATCAAAATTTACTAGGGGAGAATTCTTCATTTTTATAATTTTTTCAGATACATATACATGTTCTTATGCTGCATAGAAAGTTTGAACTGATTCCAATAAATTTTGAATTTTTTATGAATTTTTAAAGTTGCTCCAAAAGCCATGTACTGTATTGTAGTGCTTGTCAACTCATGAAGCTCATGCTGTTTAGCTCACTTAGCATGCTTTGTGGGAAACACTGATTCACATATACATGTACATGTAAATCAATGTACTGTACATGTACATGTACATGTATGAGTAAAATAAATGTACATGTACATGTACATGTAAAATTACTAGATATTCTTGTAAATCAGCATCATCAAGTATATCGTCAGCTTCAGCATTTTTATCATCGACTGAACTAGTAGATTGGAGACTGACGCTCTCTCCCTCTCCTCCTTTTTCTCTCTCTCCCTCTCCTTTCTCTCCTTCTTCCTCTTCAGTAGCAGTTACAAGGCCACTGTCCTCATAAAGTGGTTTATTGAATAGAAACAATAGCTTCCAATCACGTATCATCTTAACCGGTATAGCACTAGAAGGTGAAATAGAGGGGGAAATGTAAAATAGAAAAAGACTTAAACATGTATATGTACATGTACATGTACACGTATAATTATCATATAGCTACATGTGCATGTACATGTACACATGTATAACAGCTTCTATTTGGTTCTCCTACATGTACATGCATACATTTGTACATGTAAACACTGTATAAATTTTTTTGTATAAATAGACTTTTAATTATTTTCTTTAATGTACATGTGCATGTAGCCCATGACTTCTAATTGAAAAGGGCTTTTACTTAAGGATACTACATGTACATGTATATGATACATGTACATGTACTGTACATGTACATGTACCATTGAGTGAGTTCCCTGTATTCTCCAATCTTTGTGCTTAGGTCCACCATTTGGAGTATGATAGAGCGACAGATCTGATAGTGTTTCTCGTAATTCTCTCTCGCTCTCTCCTGAAGCAGCTGCTTCCTCTTGTCTTGTTTAGCTTTGAACAATATCTCCTCAACAACAGCTTTTCTTTTAGCCTCCAACTAACAATATACATGTAAATGAAGAAAAACATTTAAAAATGGAAAGGAATACACAGTATAATTATGCATGTGTACATTACATGTAGAGAAAGTATGTCAAAAAATTAGGAGATCTGAATTGTACATATACATGTACAGTACATGATCTTACAGCTTCTCTTTCAAGTGCAAGTACAAATTCTCTCTCTCTTTCCTTTTCGTATTGCTTCTGTCTCAAAATCCTAAACATTAAAATACATAAGTTACAATAAAATCTATACATTAGATCAATACAATGACATAATTATAATAATATAATCTATACATGTACATGTACATTAAAACAATTAATACATTGATATTTTATTGTAGAATATGAACGATTTTATCCCTCACACATGGCCAGAGATGTACATGTACATATGTACCTGTTTTCTCTAATGTTGTCTTTCTCTTTACGGATCTGCATCAGTTGTGTTACTATTCTCTTCTCCTGCAACGACTGACGGTTGAGCCTGTCAGCTATTATCTGATCCCTCCTGTGCTCCTTTGAGAGAGAGAGAGAGAGAGAGAGAGAGAGAGAGAGAGAGAGAGAGAGGAGAAAGAAAAAAATAGAGAAAAATGGGAAGACAAAAAGTTAAAAATAGCTACACTGCACAATATATACACATAAATGTACATGTGCATGTATACTGTATACATGTATATACATGTACATCATTATTATTTAAAAAGTCATGTACATGTACATGTACATGTTACCTCTTGTTCTTTCAATGCTCTTAGTTGACTCATCAGTACTTTCCTTCTCCTCCTCTCTCTGTCCCTTCTTGCTATCATTCCTTCCTGTACCCTCTCCTTAATATGAACCATATAATCAGTACCAGACTAGAACAGGAAATAGAGTATAAATAAAATAAAATACATGTACATGTACGTCGTATACATGTTTTTGTTTTTATAATTTTTTTCTACATGTACTTTAAAAATTACTTTATCATTAAAATCAACAGTCTGAGGTACAGGAGGGGATAATCCATTAGAGATTGCTGGACTAAAAATAAATAATTATAAATAAATAAATAAATAATAATAATGATGATACACATGAACATGTACATGTACATGTACTTGTACTGCACATGCACTCACTCTGTGTTGGCTAGTTTAGTTTCAAATGCATCAATATCAGCTTGAGTGTCCTGAAAAATACATGTACATTTTAAAAAATACATATACTGTACATGTAGATGTACATGTAGGGTTTCCAACATAATAATTGTCTAAATACATACATACACATGTACACACACGTACCAATGCTATTCTCTTATTCCTTCCAGTGCCAGTTCTATAGCTATCTGCACTTAACTGAGGAGCAGTCTACAATGATACATGTACACACAGTACATCATAAATACATGTAAATATTATTATTATTATTATATTAATTTTCTATACTTTTGGTTTGGGTTTTGGTAGATCCAGTGGTTTCAGTTGACTGTACATTTCATTCTGCTTCATTCTCTTCATCCGTTGCTGTATATTATAACACACACACACACACAGTGTACATGTAAATCAGCATTGTCTGGAGCCCCGTTTGCACTAATCCACTTCACTGAATCAGGGTTGTTTTTGCTATTATTAGTTTCAGGTGTTTACGGCTGCATTTTCATAAGATTTATCATTTGTTTATAGAATACCCACTTTGGTGATGCGTTTTCATGCCTTAGTGTAAACGCAGCTGTATCAGAATAAAAAAGTCTTAGTTTACATGTGAAAACAGGTTAGTGTAAACGGGGTCTGAATGCCTGACTATACGTGTACACTGTACATGTAAATGTATGTCACACTTACTTTCTCAATGGCAGCTTTACATGACTCCTTCCTTTCCCTGGATAACCTTTCCTCTTCAATATCACTACACAGTACATACAGTACATCGTATATCAATAATTATATTAATTATAATTACCGTAAAAGTGGAATATTAACATTTTAAGGTGACTTTAATTTACAATAAAAGAAGAACTAAATTTTGCTAGTTACAATGTCTATAGTAGCTCACATGTAGGCTGTACAGTTAAAAATGCATAAAAATTAAAAAACTAAATAATAAAGGCAGAGTAAAATTCTACTTCTATGGTATATTGTACACATGTACTGTACATGTGTTGGCACTGTAATTATTCTTCTTACATTTTCTTTGCTATGATTTGGTCTCTCTCTTTCTTCTTCTCTTGGAACTTCTCCACCAACTGCTGAAAGTTGAGATCAAACTGACGAGGAGTTTGCTGCTTTATCAACTAACGGAGGAAGAGAAGAAAACAGATAGGAAGAAAGAGCAAAGATACATGTAATGTAGATTTAAAAATAAAGATAAAAAAATATTTAAAAAGATAAAGATAATGCAATGTAGACCATGTGGGAAGGGAACAGCAACAAAGGAACTACATGTATTCATGTACAGTACAGTACATGTGTACATGTATGTACATGTACATGCATGAATGATGTATTATATATGTATATGTATGCACATTACATGTACATATAAGTGATACATGTATGTATATAATTGATAATTGAACATGTACATGTACATGTACATATACATTGTATGTACACATACTTGAGTATATAGCCCAGTTTGAACTTGTTCCATTTTCACTTTAGCCAAAGGTCTATTACCTCTTAGTGACTGTGCTGTTATATGACCTTGCTTCTATAATAAGAATAAAATGTGACCTATACTGTACATTGCATGTACATGTACATGTAATTGTGCATCATTCAAAATGAGATTTAATTCTTCTCATTGTCTCTGTATTATTATTTTCCCTAGTTGGATGCTCACCCATTCCTCTCTTACTTTTCTATTTAATGCCACAAACACTTGATACATTAGTTTCGTAGATGCTCCTTTATCTCCAACCATAACTTTATGAGCCTTGAAAAAAAAAAGAAATTAAAAATACTTTAACAGTGACATTTACTATTATTCAATTCTTCCCTCTATTCTGACAAACATGTACATGTACATGTATACTGTATGTACATATGCACATGTCATCATGTACATATAAACTCCTCCATGAGCTTCATGAGCTGACAAGCCTTTCGAGTAACTTTAAAAATTCATAAAAAATTCAATTTCAATCGGAATGAGCTCAAACTTTCTACACTACATATGAACATGCATATGCATTAGAAAAAATTATAAAAATGAAGAAATCTCTCCTAGTCATTTTTCACAAAATTTTACCAAAATCACTGTACTATAGTACAGGGACTTTCGCCCAATTTTTGAGTAACTTTAAAAATTCATAATAAATTCAATTTTGATCAGAATCCGTTCAAACTTTCTGCACAACACAAAAACATGTATATGTACCAGAAAAAAATATAAAAATGGAAAATTCTCTCGTAGTCATTTTTGGTGAAATTTGGCCAAACACCCTGTACTATTATAGTACAGGGACTTTTGCCTGGTTTTTGAGGAACAAATCCTGAGGAAAACCCTGAACTCCTCCCATTACACCATAGGCGGTTGCAGGCCTGGGCATTAGGGGGCAATGCCCAGGTTGACTTTTTGACCAATAATTATATTCATGATTCTGGTGTGGGCATCCAGTGTAAGCTGTAGTAGTTCAACAGGCTTCCTTGTTGTTTTATGCTAAGAAATCATCTCAATGAAGTTATAGATCAGTATTGTCCATTTTCCTTGCAAAATTGGTATGGAACCACACCCACTCCACACCCACTAATTATTGATGCCCAGGTCAAACCAAATTTCTGCAACCGCCCATGCATTACACGTACAGTACATGAGTGTGCAGTGCCTCATACCACGTGGCTATCAAATGGTATATCCAGTAGATGCAGTGACGGCTCCAATCTTGTAAAATTATTTAATTTAGCCTCGGACGTCCTGAAAAAAAACAAGTTACATTAATACTCACATATAATTATTGCATGTACATGTACATGCATTTACCTTTTTTTAGAGAAATTACTGAAATCATCCTAAAACAAGAGAGAGATAGGTGAACCAAATAATAAGCACTTGTGCCTACTTGTAGTCCATTTTGATGGAGGATCATTCCAATGAGGTAGCCATTGGATATTTCAGCCGCAAAACTATCGTGAGCTAAGACAAGAGAATGAAGATAGGATTCAACGTGTATTGTTTTTCTTACTGATGCTCTTCTCCAGCTGGAGGTCCTCGTTTAACCAGCGACAAAGAATATCGGTCATTTTTATTCTTCACTCACACTAGTTTTTGTTGCTAAGGGGCGTGACTTCAAAACTCAGATATACGGAAGTATACGGAAGTATTTGCACTATCCAGCCACACCTCCATTTCAGCTCCACCTAAAATGCTGCAGCAACAAAAGCAAGAAAATCATTTTTTAAGAATAAGGAGACTTTAAAATAACTAGTCTAGACTATTAACTCTTCTTTGCATAATTGCACTTATAATTTTTAAAAATCTAGCCTGAATTTAGATCTATTTTAATTAGAGTCTAAGAGTGTAAATTGAGTCAGTGCATGATTTGCATCTCCAAAGGCTATGAATAATTTAATTACAAGCCAGCTAGCCACAGCCAGCCAGCCAGCCACATGGACTATGGACAACCTGGAGTCTAACAGCATCAGTCCCTCTTCCATAACTACAGCTACTTCTTCCACCACTGGCCATGATGATGATCAGATTGAGACTCCAACAATCAGCTCTGTCGTTCTAGTCAGCATCACAGTACTAGCACTGGTAGCAATACTGGTACTAGCTTGTGTGCTACACAGATACAGGCAGAAGAAGAAACTGACTAGAAGAATAAGAATGACCGAGAATATGATCAATTCTATTGCTAATGACCTGAAACTAACCAAAGCAGCAATGGTAAGAAACATAAAATATTGGTGCAATGCAATACACTGTAAATTTCTAGTTGGCTGAATCTCAATTACATGCAAATGCAATGATAGGACAAGAAAACCAGCTACAACCCTTGAATGCTCCACCAGCAGCATTACCCCCTCCTCCTCCTTGTTCTCATACACCACTATGTAAGTAAAGGGAAAGTGCTTTGATAGGCTTTGTTGATACAGCTGAAATAATGCCCATTGATCTTTGTTCACACTAGCAGCTGAATTATGTATCATTTTGTGTTCTTATTGCCATTGGTTTACATTGTTCACATCAATCCACCTCGTGGTGATAGTGATGCGCATCAATTCGAAACCACTTTAGCGTGAGCATGATTAAATTTTATGCATCAATGCACATTACTTTGGCCAGTATGATTGTGTGAAAAGGCCTTTGAGCATAGTAAATTCTCCTCTCAATTGTGATCTAATTTTTATTATTTAATGTATAGCTGTCGGTACTTCAAGCGTGGAGACATATCGATGCTCACCGCAGTCAGTCATCACACATTCTCATGAAGACGATGAGAGCAGCACTAGTGATGAAGAATATGATATGCCAACTGATGCTGATACCAGCGAAAAAGAAATTGTAAGATAATGAATAATTAAATGATTTTGAGCAGCAAGCATGGTTCTGGGATGGTCGCCATTGGTCGAGAGTAACCATCTTAGCAAATGAAAAATTAGTTTATCACTTAGACCAACTATACAATTACTACCATGCATAAAGCATGGTATACTAGCGTGTATAGAAAAAGAACAATTGTGGTCTCTGATCACTTTTTATTTTTTGGGCAGAATCATAAGTGAAAGAAGTGAAGTGACAGCAGAAATTATAAAATTATTTTTCTCTTAATTATTAGAGTTACACTCATAATTTCCATCATGAGCAACGTAACACTTACTCTTTCTTCTCTACGCCTCAAAGAGGAGATGCAAGATTTCTCTCCCTACAAACGATTGCTACATTCCAGAACTTGAATGACTGCACGTTAGAGACTCACTACAGCACAACTCTATCAACTGGATTCGTTCACCATTCGCCTCCACATCACTCAAGTGTCCCGGCATTCTTCAGTACTAGCACAACAGGGACTGCTAATACAGCAGTATTGATGAGTGATGATGTGACAAACAGTCCATCAGCACATTATCATCCATCATCTGATGATAGACATACTGTGACAGTACCTGAAAATACGCCCAACAATAGTCAACAACACTCATACAGGTATAATTATACACACACTGACTATTACATTATTGTGATTATTTCTATATTCCCTTTATATATAGACTTCCTAATGATAGCATGTGCAGTAAAAGCACTACATTAACTATGTACACATGTCCAACCAGTCCCATTGGTAGCAATACATGTATTGGAGATGAAGATAAAGGCAGTGATTCTGATGATGAAGTATTTGTAGAGGCTGCAGATAGTGAGTATCAAACTGACATAGAGGTGTGGGTTTAGGTCATAAATTGAAACCATTCCATACAAAAATTAAATTTTTATTGTTTGAAATTACATTTTTTTCTGTTTCTTTTTGTTCTTATGTTACAATTGTTATTTGTTATGTACTCATGCTTATGATTATGTGGAAAGTTAGTTCCTCAGTTTATGCTAAGATACTAATCAATGTTAAGCGTTAATGTGTCCCACTTTCAGCTATCATAGTGCTTCATACCTGTAGCCAATTATGTGTACCTTCAACATTTTTGATGCATGTATGAATCAGGGTTCTGCCTAGAATAAAATTAGAGGTGGTTGGAGACTAATATTGTTCCTTTTTAATTTATGTACACCATACTAGTAGACTACAATATCATGCTTTATGTATGGTTATTAGTATTAATTGGATGGTTGGTGTAAGTGATGAACTGGTTGGTTCATTTGTTGAGGTGGTTGTCCCGACCACCCCGACCACCATAGGCAGAACAATGATGAATATAACTCTTAAGATACACTGCATAGTCAAGCAGTTTATAATTAGTATCCATTAAACATAACTGAGCCAGCACTATTGTTTTTTTTACTTAAATTAATCCTGCATGATGATTTAAGTTAATAGCTACAGCTGCTGTTTACATCTGTCTATCATTAAGTTGTAACACAGTGAACCATGTTTGTCGGTATCTATAATGGTATGGCATCAGTCAATGTTTACTATCTAAAGTGTAGGGTGCTTTTATGCATTACAAGCATTATGTACTTGCATTAATCTATGTTTATACTTGCATCAAGCTAATGGATCTAAATTTTAGGGTGCTTTTTCAGTTTTTCCATATTAAAAGTATTGTGTAAGTACATTGCTACATTTTTATTTAAGGAAGTTCAGTGAACTTCAAGGAAAGAAAGCAGACAAAAAGTTTTTTGAGATGAATAAGAAATATATATTGGTATTGGCACTTGTTTCAATTGCTTCTTCAGCTACAATAAACATGGCTGAAGAGGAAGAGCCTATTAATGAGATTGCAGAATCCTCCATTGATGAACTGGAAGATGAAGAAGAAGCTCCAATGAAAGCCAGTCCTTTCTATGATATAAGATATGTGAATGCACTTGATGCACACATTAACAAAGTCATTGAGTCAAACTTCCGAAATCAACCAGGTGAGGTATTACTGTGGTATGTAGAATACAACATTAAGCATTAGGATTAAATTGTGTTTTAGTCTTGGATTCTTTTTGATTATAGTGATTCAACTCCTCTATCTATGGACTGAAGGGTCAACAGTCTTGAAAATCAAGAAAATGAATGGAGGGACTTTACGTGAGGGAAACAAAGTACTACAAAGCATGAATATTGGGAATGGAAGAAGCTCTAAAACTGGACAATACTTGGCATATCGGCCAAGATTCAGTGGTCACCATCACACTCGTCTTGGCGCCATATTTGTTAATCTTAACCGGCTCTTTCCTTGTGCCAAATCAACTCGAGTTTCTTGCCGCAGGTTTACAATAGAAGAGGATGGATTCTTAAAAGGAAAGGCAATCATTGAGGCTGCTGATTTTGGTAACAACTTCCAAGCTTTTGGAGCAAATGTTGATACATATGGGCTTGCATTTCAAGGTTGTCCTTATCTCAATGGTGCCAATGGTTGTCTTCCTACATGGTTTCACACAACGATTACTTGCTTACTTCCAAGGTCCTGTTTTCGAAGCTGAACAAAAAAGAACATGAACTGTAGTTTAGTATTAACTGTAGTTTAGTATTGTTGTTATTAGATGCAGTTTTAGTTGGTTTAATTTTTTGTTATAATGTCATTTTAGATTAGTGATTGTCATAATTTAGATTAGTAGCAAGGATAATGTTGATGATGGTGAAAGCTAGGCTATGGTTGCAACACAGTGAATCATGTTTGTCGGCATCTATAATAGCATGGCTTACATTAGTCAATGTTTACCATCTAAAGTGTACCTTTCTGTATTACAAGCCATATTTACTTACATTAATCTATGTTTATACTTGCATTAAGCTAATAGATCTAAATTTTAAAAGTATTGTGTATGTACATTGCTACATGTTATTTAAGGAAGTTTAGTGAAGCTCGAAGAGAGAAAGTGAGACGACAAGACTTTAAGATGAGTAAGAAATACATTTTGATGTTAGCACTTGTTGCAGTTGCTTCTGCGGCTACAACAAACATGGCTGAAGAAGAAGAGCCTATGAATGAGATTGGAGAAACCTCCATTGATGAACTGGTAGATGAAGAAGAAGAGCCTATGAGTGAGATTGCAGAATCCTCCATTGATGAACTGGAAGATGAAGAAGAAGCTCCAATGAAAGCCAGTCCTTCTTATGATATAAGATACATGAATGCACTTGATGCACACATTAACAAAGTCATTGAGTCAAACTTTCAAAATCAACCAGGTGAGGTATTACTGTGGTATGTATGTAGCATGACTCATTAGGATTAAATTGTATCTTAGTCTTGGATTCCTTTTGATTATAGTGATTCAACTCCTCTATCTATGGACTGATCAATCAAGAGTCCTGAAAATCAAGAAAATGAATGGAGGGACTTTACGTGAGGGAAACAAATTACTACAAAGGATATATATAGGGAATGGAAGAAGGTCTAAAACTGGACCATACATGGCATATCGGCCAAAATTCAGAGGCTACCATAGCACTCGTCTTGGCGCCATATTTGTTAATCTCAACCGGCTCTTCCCTTGTGCCAGATCAACTCGAGTTTCTTGCCGCAGGTTTACAATAGAAGAGGATGGATTCTTGAAAGGAAAGGCAATCATTGAAGCTGCTGATCTTGGTAACCACTTCAGAGCTTTCGGAACAAACGTTGATACGTATGGGATTGCATTTCAAGGTTGTCGTTATCTCAATGGTGCCAATGGTTGTCTTCCTAAGTGGTTTCACACAACAATTGCTTGCTTACTTCCAAGGTCCTGTTTCCGAAGCTGAACAAAACAGAATAACTCAGTGTAGTTTAGCATTGTTATTGTTATTAGATGCAATTTACTACTTGGTTTAATTTTTTGTCATCCCGAATTTTTATTACAAGTAAAACTGTACATTTAAAATAGTAATTAAAATTAATAATGAAAAGTATAGTAAATGTTGTAGTGCATGCATATACATGAGGAAAGGTTAGGAGATTTCATTTATCCTGTATCCATAAGCAGCATTATATTGTAGATCTATATCTTCATTGACTGTTGATCCATTTAAAGTAATATCAGTGCTCCTATTAATACTATCTATTTCCATTGGTGTATCATATATTGGCCCTTGTTTATTAATGATGTCATCATATTCATCTTCAATACTTGGTCTAGGATTGTTCCTGTGTTAACAAGTCAAAGAGTATAATAATTATAATAATATTATAAGTTGTATCTTCATTACCTTTTTGAAATGATCTTGCCTGCAAGTAAAAATAATGATAATAACAATTATATTATAGACAATAGAGTGTACTTACTTCTTTGTTTATTTATCGCCATTAAGATTATCATTGCTAGTACAATAATTGCTGTTATTAATGCTAGTGCTACACCACTAGTAAATATTGCAGCCAAAACAAAATTTATGCCACCAGGTGATGGTATAGCTGTTGATGAAGGTAATGAAGTTGTGTTAATTGTGTTGGCATGAGATGCTGTACCACTTAAACCTTTTGTAGAAGACATTGCAGACAGATCTATATTAATTAAGCAAAAGGGAGCTGTTTGCCTATGTACAACTAATAACTGTTTACCAGGCAATTGCATTATTGATGAAATAGATCTAGTGCCAGTGGAAGTAATAAATGAACAACTACTGCTCATTGTTGGAGTTACACCAACTATATAAACAAATTATAAAGGCACAAATTATTATGACTTACCATTAATAGTGACTGGTGGCCCATATCCAATATTATTAACTGGTGCAATAGTAACAGAACATGGCTCCGCTTCAAAATCACAGAGGATTTTAGCACGTGTTTCAGTTGTATTAATGGGAATATCATCGTTCACTGTTAGGCTATAATTTAATGGCATGGTACCATCCTATTTTTGGATAATTAGATGACAGTCAAAATAAGATTAACTTACTTCACTTTTATTCCATGCTATTGTGACACTATCATTTGATATCTGATACCAACTAACATTAACAACTTGACCTGGTACTATAATAAATACAATAAGTATGTGTGCATTATAATAGTTTTTACCATTCCATGTGCAATGTATTAATGATGAAGGAGGTCCTTCTCTTCCACCAGTATCAATAGGAATAACAATGAATGAATAATTGGTACCAATCATAAGAGGACTGATAGTTGTATTAGTGTCGTTAGTAGTAAGAGACTCAGTATTTGTGTTGTTATTGAAAATTACAACATTATAGTGACTTATGCATGATCCTCCTGAAGCAGTCCAATTTATAAATAATGAATTATAGCTGATAGGATTAAGTTCAATGCTATTAACCGGTTCTGTTATACCTAAAATTGATATCATATGAATGGAGTACTGATAGATCTACATACTTGTTATATTAATAGTAATTGAATCATAGGAAATTCCTAAATCAGTTGAGCACTCAATGTTTGTCCAATTCATTTGGCCTGGAACTGATTCAATTGTTGCGTTACTAACTATTACATTACCAACTTGTTCAATTGAAAAGCGAATATTATCAACTGTTTCTGGCAAGCTCGAAAACGATAGAGATTGTACTAGATCTATTTCTGAATCTCTCCTCCAGATGATTACAATTGCTTCAGGCTCATTTAAATTTCTTCTAGATGTACATGTGAAGACTAATCTATCACCAGGACACAGAGGAGTAGAGGGGAGTGGAGCTGACTGGATCAAAGATGTAGCTACATAGCAAAAATTTAGCATGCATTGCAATTATTATTGTACTGTGCTTTACCAGTAACTTCAGTACAAGATGCAAGACTCCAAAACACTGTCCATACAATCAACAAGCAGTAGATACCAGTAATAGCCATTATAGTACAGTGAAAACTGAGAACTGAGGCCTTAGGATGCAGGATCAGATTGATGAACACAGCCCAGTGCTTGCACACTCCTAAGCATAACAATTGCATTGTGAGTCAAGTCTCAGTAATATAAGTATACCATCATTAATTGCGTTATAAACTAATCAGCCTTCACTTTGTTTACTATAATTGAATTGTTTTGACTAGAGTGTTTGCACAGCTACCAAAGTAATAATGTTTTGATAGCTTATCTTAAACAAAAGCTTCATAAATTCAGTCTAAATTTGCTTAAAATAGGATATGCCAACTGCATTATTTATTACTGTTGTCATTAGTGCATGCGTGATGTCAGTGGTTGTTTTCATAAGACGGAACTCAACACAAGCTAGCAACTATATTGTACACACACAACAATTGCTCACATTATGGCAGCTAAAATCATAATAAAACACTCTTTTGATAATAATTTCACAAACACAATATGCATGAGTCATTGATTTAATTTTAAAAACTGAAATAAAATGAAAGAGGTTAGTATAAAGCAAACAAGGCAGTATTCTAAAGGCAAAGCAGTGTATTTAATAATATATATGATCATGATTCAGTTGGAAGATTGAGTCATTGGAGACAATGAGATATGGAGCCAATGGCATAATGAGAGCATTGACTGATGCAACCAAATCACTGAACAATGGCCTGTCATCAGGAGACTCACACCAACACTGCTGCATCAAGGAATAACTATATATAGCAAAAATATATCAGCATACAGCTGATAATTACTATTAATTAGTACATACATGTCTTCTGAGCAGGCTTCATTATGAGGAGAGCTTAACCTTTGCCCACCATCCAATAGTTCCACTAATCCTATTGGATCCATACCAGGGTATGGTATTTTCCCAGCACTAAAGACTTCCCAACACAAAACACCATAAGACCACTGTGTGTGTGAGAGAATTAAACCATATTAGATCTAATAGTATCATTTAAAACTGACCACATCTGATTTTTCAGAGAATATTCCATAGTGGAGACTTTCAAGTGCCATCCATTTGACTGG